TCTCCAAAATGCAAAGCACCATTCTCTCTCTTTTTTTTTTACCTCTGACAAATATTGCTCCCTACCTCTGGTTGACTTTTCAGCTCTTTTCCCTCTTTTCTAACTCTACCACATCCTTGGGAAATGGAGGATAGGGAGGTACCAGAACTCTAATACTTCAGATGTGTAAATGCAAAATGGTGTGATATTTTCTGTGTTTTAATAACATCACAGATGGGTTGAGGTTGGAAGGCATCTCTCAAAATCATTTAGTCCAATCCGCCTGCTCAAGCAGGGTTAAATAGAGCCAATTGCCCAGGACTGTGTGCAGTTGGGTTTTGAATATCTTCACATATGGAGACTCCGCAACCTTGCTGGGCAACCTGTGCCAGTGTTCAGCCCCCCTCACAGTAAAAAGTGCTTTCTTGTGTTCAGATTGAGTTTAATCTTTTTGAATTTCTGCCCATTGCTTCTTGTCCTGTCAGTAGGCATCACTGAGAGGAGTCTGGCTCCATTGTCTTTACTCCCTTCAGTTATTTATACACATGGATAAGATCCCCCTGAGCCCTCTCCAGGCTGTCAGCCTCTCCTTGTATGAAAGGTGCTCCAGTCTCTTAATTATCTTTGTGACCCTGCACTGGACTCACTTTACATCTTTCTTGTACTGGGGAGCCCAGCACAGGACCCAGCACTCCAGATGTATCTCACAAGGTCTGAGCAGAGAAGACGACTCACCTCCCTCAATTTGCTGGCAACACTTTGCCTAATGGAGCTCAGGAAGCTGTTGGCCTTCTTTACTGCTACAGTGCATTGTGGGCTCATTTTCATCTTGTTGTCCATTGGGACACCAAGGTCCTTTTCTGCATGGATGCTTTCCAGCCAGTCAACCCTCAGCATGTACTGGAACCAGGTGTTATACCTCCCCAAATACGTGGCTTTGTATTTTCTGTTGCTGAGTTCTGTCAAAGTCCCTCCAGATAACAGCATGACCATCTGGTGTATCAGCCACTTCTCCCAGTTTTTTATCTGTGAATTTGCTGAGAGTACATTTTGTTTCAATGTCCAGGTCATTAATGAAGATATTAATTTGTATTTGCCCTAGTATCAACCCCTGGAGTACACAACTAGTTGCTGGACTCCAACTGGACTTCATGCCATGGAGCACAACACTTTGGACCTGGTAGTTCAGTCAGTTTTCAATCCTCCTCAACTCTTATCTAGCCTGTACTTTTTCAACTTGTCTATAAGGATGTTGTGGGAGATAATGTCAAAGGCGTACTAAAGTAAAAATAAACAGTATCCACTGCTTTCCTGCCAAGATAGTTGACTTGTTGTAAAATGATATTGTGTTGGCTGAGCATGATTTCCTGTGTTTGGAAATGGTTTCCAGGTTTACTTGCTCCATCACCGTCCCAGGGATTGAGGTGAGGCTGGTCAGCCTGTAATTCCCCCATCCTTCTTCTTCCCCTTTTTGGTGGTTCTAAGAGAAGGAAAAAAACGGAGACAATTTCCTTTTCTGAACTATGTGGTGATCATAGACCCATTTTACACTGCTGATGAAATAGTAGAAAGTTGAAAAAAAGAGAGGAAGGAAGCTGATGAACGTCAGTAAGGGTGCTGGAGGTTGCAGCTGTCAAGTGAAGCCACCTCTGAGAGCTGCTGTCATGGGTGGAGAAGCTGGCAGAGGGCCAAGGGCTGTTTGTACAGTTTGATCCAAAGTGCAAAATGAAGTCAAAAGGGCTTCTTTTGATTTACTTGCTTTACTTGCATCATCCTCATCCTCTGAGTATCTGTTGAGTTTTCCCTACTGGCAGGCAAAATAAAAAGCCCTGTCTGATAATATTCAGCTCACCCTCACTCTTTGCTTTCCCTGTTCCTGTGTGATGTTGCAATATTAGGATGGATCTTGTTTTCTCAAGCCAAACATGCCAATGCTGCACTGTGCATGAGCCCTGAAGAGAGAGCACCCTGTGATAATGCTCCGTCCTTGTCCTCACAGGAGCAATGACCCAGAGGACATGGGCAAGTTAATCAATTACACTCCTAAAGGCAGGAAGAAAAAGACCTGAGGAAGAACAGATCCTATGGCTCACAGGTGGATTTTCAGTTCATGGACTGGGATCATCCATATTTGAAAAAATCAAATCAGGTAATCAGAGCTGGCTTCCAGAAAGCAGAAACTGAGGCAGTTGGTTGGGCTAGTGTCTGCCTGCATGGAGGGGGAGGTGGGAGGTACCCAGGCCCTATGTCCTTCAAGTGCCAAATCTGACGTTCCTCTCAGCAATGGCAAAACCAGCTCGACAGTGCATTAACTTTACGTAAGCAGTTTGTTTGACCCAGTCGTTGTGGTTTTTTGTTCCCCAGGACCTCAGCCCTAGGTTTGGTTTCAAAAGTGGTAAAAGGATTAATTTTGTTTGACTTCAAGAGGTCCTCAATATCTTAAGAGGAAGTAGGAGCTGGTGGGAGGGACTATTATTTAAGGTACCAAAATAACTGGTAGGAGGAAATAGTCAGTGAAAATGCACTGTTGTCACTTGAGAATTAGACCTTGTTTTAGATGTATTGTCTCAAAATCAGAATAATTATAAGCCAGATGGTATTTTAGATACCTTTTCTTTTCATGTTGTCTCCCCACACCCCTTTCCCCCAAAGAATGAAATGTCTTAAAAGGTTTGTGGTCCAGCATGTTTTACCTGTATAAAAAGTAGACAGGCACAAATTCAGCTCCATCACACTCAAGACACATGTTCTGGGAGGAAAGACACGACATATGTTCTGGAAAGAAAATATGTTTTTAACTCAAATGGGGACATGTGAGAGTTACCATGTCCTGGGGAACCAGAGAATTTTGGATTTCTGCCTTCATTTGTTTATCTCACTGGCTTCTCCAATGCTGACTGTGGAAACCATGAGCAATTTCAGCTTTCCATTAACTATCACCTACTACCTAGTTTAGTAGTTCAGTTCTGTGTTACTAGTTATTTTAGTTCCAGGAATTAATGCCTCCCTGGAGGAACTTGATCAAAGCAGGGGCTAGATAGTTAACAGAGCACTGCATGTATGTCAGACAATTGTGCTTGGGTTTTCAAGAGACATCAAGATTTGAATAGGTCTTCCTGGGACATGCCGTGGTGAAAGTGCCAGTGAAAGTAGCCAACCTAAGAAAAGTGAGTAGCCAGATGAAAACTGGTATCACAACACGTGGCTAGAGACTTTGATTATGTGATAAAGCTGATAAGGGTCTCATCTGTCAAACAATACTGTCGGTTAAAAAGGACAGTGAACATGTGAGGGAAGGCTCTGAGAGGAATGAAAATAAGCCTAAGCAGAAATCATGGCAGCACTTCTGGGTGTACTCCCACACACCATCCAATCCCTACATAGTACTATGTGTGGCAGACAAACTTCCGCTCTCCCTACTTGAGAAACTGGAAGCAAAAAGTAGTCTAGGGGGTGAGGTGTCCAGAAGGCAGTATGGTGTGTGTGCCCAGGCCACTTTGCATGCAGCATGTCATTCATCTGCCCAAGCGCGGTCCTGCATAAGAAGAAAGTTTCTGTACTTTTTCTGATGCAAGCATAGAAAAAGCTTGAGGCCAGCTAGGAAACAGAGATAGGAACTGAGGTCTACCATTTATATTTTTACCTGTTGACTTCATGAAGTAGCTTATTTTTTGTGCTGCTTAATGAAGGGAGAGACTGAATTTGAAGGGAGTTGGTGTGCTTGCCTGTTCCACATGTCCCTAGAAAAGCAAATGGTAAACCTTTACCAGGACATGAAGGGAGCAGCCAGCAAGCCCAGAGAAGAGAGCACTCAGTCACTCAGGGCTGGCTTCCTCAGCTCGTGATGGATGGGGACAGCAGGCTAGGGCCACACTGACTTGTCAGTTCATATTAGGACCATCTCTGTGAAGTGAATCTCCCAAACATCCCCATGCTTTTGTTCACACAGTGGAGCACTGGGTTCCTCTTGGTTGAGCCTATCCCAGAAGATGCGCTCCCAGGAGGACATCTAGCGGACTCTGACTGCTAACAGGCATTCATCCCATGGGTCTGGACTGGTGCCAGTCTAGGGAAGACTCCTCCTTGTCCCCATGTACACTATGTGGCTCTTGAGTCCTCAGCACCAATTGCTACACCCCACTGCTTCACCGCTCCTGCTTGCTGCACTGCTGTGTGGACATAGTCAAAGCCCAGTTTACTGCAGACCTACAGATAATAGGTGTCTTTAGACATGATGACCGGTATTATTATAAGATTTTAAGTTCTGCTGTTTCTAAAATATGTTTCATCTCAGGCAAAATGCTGTTCTATTTTCCACTTTCTATGTATAATTTTAGGTATACGGATAGTATTGGTAGTAAGGTATAGGTATAGTGGGTGTTTATGTATATAATATTAGGTATATGCATATATTTGGAAGCTATAGCAGCATATATGTGTCCAGGTAACACAGAAGAGAATTCATCCTAGTGCTACCTCTTGTGTAATAGCCTCCCTACCCCTAGCAGCTCAGCTCGCTCTGTCACAAAAAGGCCTACAAATTCTGCCTCTGATCTGGGGACAGAAGTGGCTGAAGCCAGCTGAGGTGCACCAGGCATGTGGAGTGGCAGTATAAACATCTATGAGCAGGAGCAGCTCCTGATTTGTAAGTGGGGAGGCTGGCTGTTTGTACCTCTCCTACCTGCAGGTCACTGGGCACTTTGAGGTCAGTGTCTTCATCTATTATATGATGTGGCCACAGCTGTGCACAGCTACCTGGTCCTTGTTTGGATTAGGGCTACGGTCACCTCCGACTGATACATCTGTGAAAAGATAAAGCAAAGTGCTGGCAAGAGAGGTACTCATATTCTGAGAAATTAATTTTATTTTCTTTAACATAGTATGAAGAAGGTATGCATTCCGAAGTCTTGCTGATTTGTTTATAGCTAGAGATATTTGAATTTTTTTATTTCCTGTAGTCATTTCCTCCAGTTCCCTCCTGCCTCTGGTGTAAAGTCATCAAATAGTAAAGTCCAGCGATTATGATTACTCATCTCTTCACAGTCTGTTGTGTCATTCCAACCATGAGACTCATCTTTCAAGCATGCTCAATGATCTTCACACTGGGCAACCTGCTGGCTTCTCAGTCACAATCTCCTGGTAAGTTCAAATCCACAAATATTTATTTAAGAAATTGATATATTAGTTAACAATATTTCTGTGTGTAATTTACCTCATGTGTTACAATATTCAGTACTTTTTTTTTGGTGAAAAGTATCAATCTAACAGAAACTGATAGCAGAGATGAAAGTGGCTTCTTAAAAAAAATATTGATGACAATAACAGATTTCTATGAGCATTTTCTAATTAAAAATTGAGGTAGAACTCGCTAAGCTTGTGCCTGTTCTTTAAGCAGGATTATTTACTGTCTAAGGCAAAGGTTACAACAAAGTATACTGCATCCAAAAAAGACTAGCCTTCACAATGAACAAAGATGAATAAAAGAGATTACAGGTAAGACTTCAATGTTTAGTGTTCTGGAAGAATGAACACGATGGGAAAATATCCAGCAATATCTTGCACCTGAGAAAGAATCAGGGTAAAAATACTATTAAACAGCAAAATTAATAAATACATTAAAGACTGGTTATTTGGCTGCCTAAATATAAGAACATCTCTATTTCATGTATTTGTCTGCAATGCCAGTACTTATAGCTTGCCAAAGATAAATGGATTCTTACATAAATCAAATATAAAGCCCAACACACAGACCAATAGTCTAATCTTCACTCTTGTTAATTTATCACAAGTTCCCTGTCATTCATTTTATAAGGAGAAAGAAATACTTTACATTTATGCTCTCATCTTATCAACCTATAAATCAGCTCTGTGTTCTGCTGTACGTATGGTAAGTACCATTTTTGGCAATGCAGAACCACCTGATTCTCCAGTGTTAATTGTTCCTGTGAGTCACTGGTTCTCCTGTGAGGGGACATGACTCTTCCCTGTCCTGATACGGCAACCACCTATAGCCATGCTGTACTGATGGCATGATCTTGTGGAATAAAAGTTGAAAATTACAATTCTGGTGCTTATATGATGCGAACTGTCATGATGCGTAGCAATGGTTGGTGATCTTCTGAAAAAAACCCACTCGGTTTGATGGGTTATAAGAATTATGCCTTGCCTCAAAATGTCTATAAAAATATTTCTCTTTCTTTCTTGTTCCTTTTCTTCAAAAGAGGTTTTCTATTCAGTCTCTGTCCTATGCATTCGATTCAGCAGGTCTCGAGCTTTTGCCTAC